CTTGTTACTGGAGTCCATACAACGCCACATTTCGCGAGATGAAACGATTACGTTAGCACGATTGTTGAGTCTGTTCCAACTGATGTGTAATACATTAACATAAATGTTTTTTTCTGTTACACTGCTAAACCTATCACCACCGCACACCACCTAACAGCTTCGTGAAAAGTGGTCAACACATTTAACATTATATAATGTTTAAGATGCCATCAATGAACCGCGAAATAGGGGGATTTTTTCGCTATCAGGTACATACACTTTCCAGTTTTCGGTAGACGTAATTAAACCAAAGGCTCCAGGTGTCTGGATGAAACAATTCCCGGCGGGCTTGGGGCAGTACATCACGAAAGCGATTCGACAGCTTCTGTTTTCGTTCGCGCGCACATCGATCTTTCATGATTGGTCAACACAAATCGGATCGATCTGCGGTGGTCGCGTGACCCCGACGCATCGCTGTCCACGAACACACCGAGAGTTGGCATTCGTCGGTCACACCCTACCCGTGTTTCTTCATTTACCGCTCCCCTTCTGTTTCTCTCCTCCCACTAGGGCTCGTGAGATGAGCGGACCAATCGGATATCGATGCAGTGGTTACACGCACTGACCCGGGTGCGCAGATCGTCTGGTGAACAATGCGCATGACCACGCGAACAAAGGAGTCGGGGGTTCGAAGGCGCTTCAACTGGGTTTCGAGGTAGCGTGCAATGAAGGCCACAAACCAGGCTATTTACGAGCTTCATTTCACAGTGCAACAAGTGAATTGATTCGTTTGTAATCATGATTTCCACACAGAAGTAAACACTAGGTCAGAAACGCCAATTCGTACGGACAAACTTGTGCAAAAGGTGATTGTTTGTTTCGTGGTAAAACCAATACCACCCAAAGAATACTTCATTAATGTAGGGTTCATGTACTACTTTAATTGTTGTTCGCGGAGTAATTGAGGGGTTATTATATTAGTGTAGTATATCATAGTATATTATCCTCGACGGATGATCGACAGCTCTTTTACCTACAGATTGACAAAACAACGACAGTAACGAATTCGAGTGTCTTATACTCAAATCTCGATACGATCTAGAGCGAGTTCTCTATAGTCACGACGATTCAACCGGTATCCATGAGCGATAAACGGGATAACCTTGTTGATGATGATGCTAATAGATATACATGACATACAATGATACTAATGATAATTGCAAAACTACTTTTATTTCAAATGGGACTGTTTTAAAAATCCGGTGGCGAAAACCTTTAACCTTATTTGGCTAGTTTTTTAAAAACAAATGGACAAACATATAAGCACTATCCATTCCATGTGCAATTCAAATAACTCAGGTCTTTGGTAGACTGATAGTTCCTTGCTGTTCGTTGTTTTTATCAACAATAACACAACATCTAAGTCATTTTACACTGAGAGATTACGGGTTGTCCATCTTTCTCTTTTATTCCTAATTGACATTTCTACTTAGATGTTACCGCTTCATGTCATCCCTACCTTTGAATAGTAAGATGAAAGGGTCTGTAACCTTGGAACGAATCTCGATTAGAGACAATGTGTGTCATTAACCCCTTTGCAATTAGCCGACCGGTATACCACGTCTGATCTTTTCCGCCAATAAGCTTGCAAAATCACCACTTACCGCTTCATATTGTTCTGTATATTGAGCGCCAAAGGCTAAATGATCGGAGTGAACAACAAATTGACTCTAATCGATAAATACACCCCTTGATTAACAAACCGAATTTCCAAAGGCGTTTCATTTCAACACATGCAAACTCAGTAGGTGCAGATTTCTTCCTCCTCAGTCCTAGTAATTGGACCAGTCGTGTATTTCACAGTCGATCACTATATCTGGTAGCCACAGTGACAGGTGAGCGCTATACCAACGCAGTGTAGCTGAGATAGTTCGTGTAGTTAATATATCGGATTACCAAACCAATTGAATTCGGTGGACATGCGCACTGCAGATGATTCGTGACGAGGATGAGCCAGGGTTGGCAAGGGTTTTCAATAGTGAACAACAGGTTGATGAACACAACACTTCCATGAACAAACGAAATCTCTAAAATCGTCTCGCCCGACTATTATGTACTTCAAGAGTTCCTAGCTCTTTATCTTAACGCATACATCAGTGTGATGAATAGGAGAAAATTGCGAGCCCATTTAATACTCGGTAACAGAAATTCAACCAAGGGAATCCGAAGTGAAAAATCACAGAAGGCTCCAGAAGAATGGGATAGTTATGCTTAGAACGCTCGAACTGGCCCACCAGAAGAAGAGGCCTAGGGAGGTTGGCCTGGGCTAGCGTTGCGAGAATGGTGACAAACTACTCAGCTTCGCCGATTATAATCGATTGCGTATTACCAACACCCGGTTTCAACAACCGAAAAGCATCTTCTGACGTGGTACTCCAACGATGGCCGAACAGCACATCAAATAGTGTACGTTCTCATCCGGTCACGATGAGTTTCTTCGATTGAAGACTGTCGATCCTATCGCGGGGCTGAATGTGGGAACAAAAGCGGATCTGATCACGTACTAGCTCGCGCGAAAGTTAGACTCCATCTAACAACTCACAGAAAGATCGTCCCTTCAAAACGCCTAAATGTGCTTCCACCGGAGAACAACGAGAAATGTCAGACACTGATCCCATCGGTACGCAAGGAGTTCGGTTACAACTCAGTGGACTAGGATAAAGTCGCACTAGACACCAGATCACGTCGTCTGAAGGGCTGTATATCCGACCACAGTATCCAGTTAGCTAATGCGGCCAGAGAGGCAAACCTAGCTCAATTCTCTGCTTATGGTGATCTCAGACGACAAGTAATACGATCAGCCAGAAACGATAGATGCAACTACTGCAATAAAATGGATACAAAAATGGAGACAGCGGCCAAATTGAGCAACATGGCGACCTTCTTCCGACCTATTCGATCGGAATCAGGAAAGAAACAGGCCACCCAGTCTGTGTCGCGCACCATCTCCCTCTAGCTCATTTCTGATGCGCAAGGAAAAACGTCTAGGCGGGTGGAACAATTTAGTTCTCTTCTCAATCGCCCTCAAATCCAAATTCAGTATGCGTCCTCCTCGCTATCTTCTCCACACGAAGCTAACTGCACTTCGCCATCAGTAGAAGAAGTCTNNAAGCCACGGAAACCTTCCGACGAGGACGGGATACCCGCCGAAATCTACACAAAGTATTCTTCAGCCATTTTTAACCCTCTGCAAAGCTTAATGTGTGCAATCTGGGAAACCGAAATTCGCCCAACTGTCTGGAGCATATCAATTTTACTACCTTTCCCTGAAAAGGGTGACAAATCAGTGTGCGAAAACTACGGAGGCATCAGTTTACTTGACATAGCGGCCAAGGCTTTTACACAACTTTGTTGAGACGCTTTGTTGCAACAAGGCACGTACACACTCTTCCTAACCAGAAGAGATTCTGCCCCAGTGTGGGCTGCGTCGATCAAATATTCACTTTACGTCGACCCTTGGAANATTCACTTTACGTCGACCCTTGGAACATCGCCACAAGTTTCCAAAATTCACAGCAGTCTGTTTCATTGATTTTCGTGCGGCATTCGACTACGTAGATCGCGAATCCCTCTGGAACATAGTTCTGGCCGATGGTGTTCCAGTTAAATTTATTAATCTAATGAGATCCTACTACTCTAACACTAGCTCCCGAATCCGCATCTACGGAAAGGAGTCATGCGCGTTCGATTTAGGGGTACCCATTGACTCCAATGTTGTTCAACGTTGCCATTGACTGGATAATGGGTCGTTCGATAGAAGGATACCAGGGAGTTCAGATCTCTCCGAACTTATGGCTCACCGATTGAGAATTCGCGAATGATATTGTCGTCTTTGGTGAGGACATGTCCAACCTCGAAGTAATCGTTGACCGCATCAGTCGACAGGCCTCCGAGATCTGCCCAGAGGTGAACACATCAAAAACCAAAACCTTAGCGACAGTCCCGATTCATCCTGAAAATGCTTTACTACTGAACGGTGAGCCGATCGAATCCGTCGAAAGCTTCAAGTACTTGGGCTCAATCATACTCCCAACGGCCAAGCTAAAGACGAGGTCCAAGTGCGCGTCGATGCTGCAAGAAAGACATTTTTACAGCTGAAGAATTTCCCTTGGCGTAGGAATGAAATCAACCTCGGAACAAAAATCCTAGTATTCTCCGCAGCAGTTCATCCTGTCTTGCTATAGGGCTTTGAAACCTGACCACTAAGAGTTGAAGACTGTCGCCGATTAGAAGTCTTCAATCACTGGGGCTTAAGGATCATTCTTGGAGTAAGATGGAGGGATCAGCTTTTAAACGAAGCGGTCAGAAATCGATGTTTTAATCGTGTGTCTGCGGACGCTAATACAACGGCGGCGACTACAATGGTTTGGTCACATTTTTTTGTAAATTTGATAACTACCTGACCAAAGCTGTCTTGGTACCGCCTCCCTGCCCGAACTGGTGCTGTCGGCACGGTGGGTAGCTGAAAACCTGGCTTGACACGGTACGAAAGGATACTGAGAACCTCGGTCTTCGCTCCGTCTACGGCATTCGCTAATGGAAGCCAAGCTGGATCACAATCTGCGCTGATCTTGCCGCAGATCGCCGAGCGTGGGCAGGGGCAACTCGGGGTACCCATGAAGCCGACTTATCATCTCCCAGGAGCCAGCCGCCGTAAATTGAAGTAAGTAAGATAGTTATGATTATGATCTAGCCTAGATGGAGGCTGTCTACATTGAAATTTGAGTGGGGGGCGGGGAGTTCGAACCTCCGAACCTGGCTAACCGCTAAATGGTCACTAATGACCAGATGTTGACTTCTGATCCCAAATTTCAGTACTGACCCAGTAGAGACTCACGTGGTCAGGTTCATCATTCACTAACAGAAAGTATTTCTATCTTTTAGTACATAGTTATCATTGTGTATACATGTTCTACTTTACTTTACTTGTATGCTGCTGCTGCTGCTGCTCTCAGACTTACCCAAAGGAAGCATCCCGGCCGGGGAAACCAAATTTGGGCTGTTGTCGTTCACATCCTGTACGAGGACATCAATCGTGCCGGTCGATGTGAGTGGATTCACCAAGGCACGATCGCTCACGCGCACCGAAAGACGATAGTGATCCTAACCGGTCGGTAGCACGAGGAGTATCGGGAAAAACAGAGAGAGAAAAGGCGCGGTGGAGTAAACCAGATAAACGAATAAAACAGTCACTTTAATGCCAACTAGACTGAAGTCGGATGACTCCAGAAATGATGATTGTTATATGTGTACTGGTGGTTGCAAATCATCCATGGCTATAACTGGTGTAATTGTACACTGATCGAAGCAATGTGCTCCATCATCAATTGTGGTCGTAGTTCGTTCGTTTTACATGATCCTTCTGCAGATTACTATGCTTTGAAGCGGTTTCCCATAAATTAATTTCTAAAAAGAAGTCAAAACGATGGTGTTAGATGTATTACACAAACCAGTGAGAGTATAAAATCATCCTTGCGTGATACTATTATACCATAAGACTGATTTGTGTAATGTCGCAGAACCCAGCAGCAGTCATGGTTGGACTGCCACAATGTGGTTTCTCGAAACACGTCCAGAGATCGCTAACCGTTATCAGTAGGGATGCGATTTAAAAGTATGCACATTGTACGGGATGCGTGAACAAGAACCGAACGACTTAACATGGATCACAATTACCGTAAAGCAAAATCCGCGATTGGAGAGTCATTGATTGACACCAGAATGACCGCGTGGGCGTGAGTGCGAGTTTGAAGGGATACAAGACGCACTCTCTCTCCCACGGAGGCTACTGAACTTTTCCCAATCGACATTCAAACTCAAAAAATTATCTAACTGCACACCATTCCGAAAAGGCAGCGAGATACGATCAGACAATCGTGCACAATATTCAGTTGATCTTCACAAAGATTCCTACAGTATAGTTGCGCGTGTCATTTGACATGTGGAAAGAAGAATGCACTCGGTATCCACATTATTTCAATTCGGAATGAATGCAAATGATCAGCGAGTTATTTGTCAAGCCATCTGTCTATAGAACGTAGGATACTCCGCCAATAGGGTATTGAAAGCATTAGATAAGGCAAGAACTACGATTTTCAGTTAAACAGATAGATGGTACCTTCCCTTTGGTAGTGGTCAATTTTCTGCAATGAGTGGATAACTACAACAAAATTTATTGCGATATCTGTAGAGAAATAAGTAGCTTTAGGATCTCATCAAAAAGGGAACAGAAATAAGCCTTTCCCGGTTTAGACAGCAGACTAAGACGTGTGTTGAACAACTGTGGTCTGAATGCCAGACGACCGGTAAAGACCCTCTGGATAACTGATTGTCATCGAAAGGAGAGCTTCCTGTGATCGATCAGTGTTATCGGGATGAAACACAGTGAAGTAATATCGCGTGGAGCAATAAAGCAAGGTATCCGATACCGGATGACAGACAGAAAGATAAGATTTCAGAAGTTGGAAGGTCAGAAGTACACCGACGGAACGAATGCATCTATATTGCAACGCACCAGGAATTCGGTTGTAGTGTGAAGGCTATTGAGTCTGA